TTTTTTTTTTTTTTTTTCTATCCTTTTCTCTCCTTCTGGGACTCCCATTATGCGTATGTTAGTATGCTTGTTAGTGTCCTACACGTCTCTCAGGTTATGTTCATTTGTCTTGGATGTGTGTGTTTGGGAGGAATCAGGCTGAAGAGCAGTAGGGTTCACCCCAGATGTGTTTGAGGTAGCTGCAGACAGTGGGGAGAGAGGTCAGGGTCAACACAACACCTGTTCACAAGTCCAAGGCAGGGGGTACAGGAAGAGGGCCCCATCAGGGAGGGTACCCCAGAACCTCCAAGAAGCTGGAGGCTGATGTGGGGATGAGATCAGCCCTTAGAATCACCCATCAAATGATTAAAAAAAATTCAAGCACTGGGGTGCCTGGGTGGCTCAGTCGGTTAAGCATGTGAATCTTGATTTTGGCTCAGGTCATGATCTCATGGTTCATCAGGTTGAGCCCCTCATCGAGCTCTGCGCTGACAGCATAGAGCCTGCTTGGGATTCTCTCTCCCCACCTCTCTCTGCCCCTCCCCTGCTCATGCTGCTCTCTCTGTCTCTCAAAATAAATAAATAAACTTAAAAAAACATGTACCACATCAATCTTCATTTTTGGTAAACTCCTTTGACTGTGTTTCTGCACTTTCCCTGTTACATTTATTTGTCTACATGTAGCTCATTTAATTCACAGTTGGCTATGATTCTTTCTTAACAACCAGAAATTCATGGTAAGTGTTAATAAAATGGCTATGTATACTAATTTTCACATTTTGTGAAGTGTGTACAATTATTAATCTGGATTTTGGTAGCTGCTGTTTGGATTTAGGAGCCTGTGTGTGTGTGTGTGTGTGTGTGTGTGTGTGTATTCTCTTTCCCCCAAATGCTCTCGCTGGCTGCTTGATGGATAGCCCCAGCAGAATGGGGATTTGTTGAAAGAAGAAATGCAGGCAGAGGGAGCTGGTGAGGTTTGCACAGATCTCTGCACCCCTGTGGCAGACCGTGGGGGGTGGTGGATAAGTACCCCAGCTCCCTCACCCCTCATGTGGGATGACTGATGTGTATGTTCCACACTGACCCCCATGGGTTCCCCTGGGACTGAGTTCCAGCTGCCCACACTGGGAACTTGAGTATCAGCACACTCTTTACTGCCTTCCTTCTCTTCCCTTCCCTTTCTCACTCCTCCACCCCCCTTCCAGCATTTCCTAGATCACTTCCCAAATAAACTTCCTGCACTTAAATCCTTATCTCAGAGTCAGCTTCTTGGGAGCCCTAAATGCAGACATTCTCTCTAGGCCTCCGTTTCCTTATCCATCCAAAAGGAAGAATTACGTGCCCCCTGTTATCCAGGCTGTGGGGGTGGGGACAATGGCGGTGGGGTGTGTGTCTGTGGGCTAAGCCTCCTGTATGCCATCTCCCTAGGGCCCTCTGTTCCTGGGACTAGAAGATAGAGAAGGTTATGGGGAACAGGCTCCCAGCTCCCCCCACCCACTTTTGTCATTCTCAGTTGCCCCTGTGCCCGCGGCTCACCTGCAGGAGGCATCTTCCAGGGTGAAGAGGCACTTGCCTGGCTGGGAGTCCATCCTCAGAGGAGCCAGGGAACAGGTGGCTGCTCAGAGACATCCACCAGGGTGGCTTCAAGCAGCTAGAGGGGCAGAGGGTGGCCAAGGCACCATGAGGCAGCTTCCTGAGGTGGAATGTGGCGTCACCTGGCAGGCAGTTAGTGGGGCGGCATATCTTGGCCGGAGCCTCTCAGTGGCCCTCGGCAAAGCCCAGCAGATAAGCTGTAGAGTGGAAGCTAAGGTGCATCAGAGCCCCCAGCTCCCTGTGCAGAGCCCTCCTTCCATCAGCTGTAGGTCTGCGGGGCCCTTCTGCTCTCCAGGCCCCTGCACAGGCCCCAGGACACCTTCAGCAACTGGCCACCAGCTGGCATGCCAAGAGCTGCCATTGGTGTCCAGCTTGTAGGACCTCTGGCTGTTCCACAGGAAGGGGAGGCAGCCGGGAGAGGGGTGACAGACCAGTTAGGTGGGGCAAGTGGCCTGGTGGGCAGAGCCAGGCAGAGACTCCGTGTCATTCCTTACCTTCTCTCTCCTCTCTCCCAGGTCTCTGGGCTCTACTGTGTCGTCCACAGAAACATCTGGCCCTTGACTGGCTCCTGGGAGGTGGCCCCTAAGCCCTTGGAGTATCCTACTTGACAAGAATCCCTTTGTATACCTGGGGGGCCATGCTAACCACGTGGTTTATAGTGGGGACCTTGGGCCACACTGACCCAAGAGGTATCAGTCTGACCTCTAGAGGGGCAAGAGACTGAATAACCAAGGCCAGCCACATGGGTGGTCAACCGTGTCTACGTGGCTGTTATAGGCTGAACTGTGTCTACACCAAATTCATATGTTGACTCCCTCCCCCTTCCCCCCCATCCCAGTACCTCAGGATGTGACTGTATCTGGAGATGGGGCCTTTAAACAGTGATTGAAACAAATGAAATCTTTAGGGTGGGCCCTAATCCAAGGTAACTGGTGTCCTCATAAGAGGAAATTTGGACACAGAGATGTGTGTGCACAGAGGGGAGAGCATATGAGGATACAGAAGACGGCCATCTACCAGCCAAGGAGAGAGGCCCCAGAAGGAACCAGCCCTACTGATGCCTTGATCTCAGACTTCTGGCCTCCAGAACTGCAAGAAAATAATAAATCTTTCTTGTTTAAGTCACCCTGTCTGTGGTGTTTTATTATGGCAGCTGTAGGACGATAATACAGTGGCCTACCTTCAGTGAAAATTCTGGACGAGGAATTGTTTTCAAGGAGCTTCCCTGGTTGACAATATACTACGTGTGTTGTCAAACATCATTGCTGGGAGAATTAAGTGCGTCTATACAAACCCACAGGGAGGGGACAACTGGTCCCCTGGTGGCTGGTCTCTTCTGGACCCTCCCCGCCATGTGCTTTTTACCTTTGCTGGTTTTCATCTGTATCCTTTCCCTGTAATAAACTGTGAGTGTAACAATTTTGCTGAGTCCTGTGACTCCTAGTGAAGCATTGAACCTGAGGATGGTCTTGGGGACCACCCACTAGGTTCACAGAGATAGGAGTGACTCCCCCCAAATCTAAACGTACGTTTAAAAGTAGGAGCTTCCCCTCCAGGGCCTCAGGCTGTAGCCTTACTGCATCTTCCTCGTGCCTTCCTGGACGTGCCTTTCTTTTTCACCAGCTGATCCACCATTTGCCCCCTCCCCCCCCACACTGAGCCCCACAAGGGGCTGCAGCGTGACCTTGGGCACTCACCTGAGAGGGCATCCAGCACGGTGGAGGGAGGGGTCAAGTTTTGGGGTCACACTATGCTGGATTGGAATCCCCCCCTCTGCCCTGATCTAGCTTATGACGTTGGCAAGTCACTTTCCCTCTCTGAGCCTCAGGGTCCGAGTCTCCAAATTGCTTTGCGTCACCCAATAAAGTCCCATGTATAGAGAAAGAAGTGTTACTGTGCTCTCATACTGGCCAGGGCCACTCTGCTTCTTCAGATAAATCGGCTCAACCCCCTTCGAACACCTTGCTGAGATTTTGGAGAATTACTAGATGATTGTTTTCTCACGGTCTTCTGTTATCGCTGAGTTAGTTTCATAGTGAGCTCGCTCTTTCTGGTCTCTACGAGGAGGTGCACTGGCTTCTCTCCTTGATTTCACCAGGGCTCCTGGGTGTGTAACAGCCTTTACTGAGGCTGGGGGAGCAGAGGGAGAGTTTACATTGCATACCACAGCAACTTAACCTTGACTATTAGATGTCTCTCTTCCAACCCGGACTACCTCCTAGAGTCTTGTCATTGCACTGCCTCCCTATTCATTCATTTGTTCATCCATTCATTTGTTAATTCATTCACTCAGTCGACACATATATTTCGAGTGACCGATGTACTAAGCATGGGGGTATGGAGTTGGGCAAGATAAACAAGAAAACACAGTCTCTCATTTCTCAGCTCACAGTTCAGTCGGTGACATAGATTCTCATGAGAGAATCACACATATGAATACCAAATCACCGATGTGATGGGGACAATGAGGAATAGTGAATGTATTTGGGCACCTCACATAGCTGAGATAAGGAGGGGGTGAAAGACTTCCCTGAGGAAGTGCGGTTTGCCTCGAAACCTCAAAGCTAAGGAGGCATTAGCATATGCAAAGGTCCTGTGGCACCACCTGTCCATTCCTTGTCTGGTGCTGGGATTCAGCTCATTTCATCTCTTACTCTTTGGTCCCTTTTGGTCTCCCTGCTTCTTGTCACTCCCATCCACATGTGCCAGGGTTTACAAACTAGAGCCTGTGGGCCAAATCTGGCTCTTGAGCTATGAATGATTTTTTAAAAAATTTTCATTTATTTATTTATTTTGAGAGAGAGAGAGAGGCCACGTGCAAGTGGCGGAGGAGCAGGGAGAGAGGGTAAAAGAATCCCAAGCAGGCTCCACGCTGTCAGCGCAGAGCCCAAAGTGGGACTCTGGGACTCTCACGAATTGTGAGATCATAACCTGAGCCGAGATCAAGAGTTGGACACTTAACCAACGGAGCTACCCAGGCGCCCCAGCCACCCAGGCACCCCTGATTTTTAAGAGTTTAAAATGTTTGGAAACAAATAAAAAGAAAAACATTTTGTGGGCTACTTTTGATAATTCTGTTGGATAATCAAAACTTTAAAGCTAGTATCCACGAAGGTAGGCTTAGTGGTAACCGTAGCATTAATGTGTCCGACAATAGGTAATATTAGAAAGCTCACACTGGATGGCAGATTTTAGACAGGATTTTCTGTTTCACAACTTAGTTATTATTATTTTTCCTGCAACCCTGGAGCCCGGCCAGTTGAAAGAGAAGGTAGAAACCTCCTCCTGATTTCTTCTTTGTGGGCGACAGCTGAAATAATTTGGTAGTTGAGATAATTGGGATCCTACATTGCCAGGTAGTCAAATTAGAAGAGGCAAGTGTGTAGGAGGGTTTCTGGGGGCAGGGGGAAGAAAAGGAGTGAACCGAATGCCAGTCACTAAAACCCAAACAGCAAGATCCATTTTTGCAACGTATTTGACTTTCATGAAAATATAGAAGGCACATGCTATATTTTATCACTACAATCTGGGGGAGAGAAGCACACAGAAGGTGGATGTTGGTTAGGAGTCTTTCTGAATCATTTTGATGTCAATACATTTTTTTTTAATGAAACAGTAAAAAAAAAAGGCTATATTTCACAACATGTAAAATTATATGAAATTCAAGTTTCAATGTCTATAAATAAAGTTTCATGGGTTCTCATCGACTCCCATTCCTTGATGTGTTGTCGATGGTGGCTTCCATGATGGAACAGCAGAGGTAAACCACTGTGCCAGAGGCTGTAGGATCTATACAGCTGATAATTACTCTCTGGCCATTTATAGAACGTTTCCTGACCCCCAATCCATGGTATGGTTCACCAGTGGATTTATTCAGAAGCACAAGCCCTCCCTATATCCCTGCTTAATGTTCTGGTCCCCTCTGCCCTGTGGACCAATCCCTGCGGTGAGTGACCACACCTCTGTGGGCTGGGGACACACCTTTCCGTGATTTCTCTGAGCAACCCAGGCTCGGTCCCACCACAGGAACTTTACACATGCCGTCCCTCCCAGAGCACGACTGCGCGGGAGGTCGGGGGAACTGGGCCAGTTTACAGCCAGGATAAAGGTTTCTGAAAAACCGAACTTTAAATCCATTTTGTGAAACGGCACTATCGCCACCTGGTGGCCACGTCCTCCAGCTGTAGCTGCAATTCTTTGAAAGCGTTTGGTGGGGTCTTTGGACCTTCCTCTCCAGGGCGGTGTTTATGGAAGGGAAACATGGAAAATGTCCTTGGAAAAATGCCCCAGATATGGTTCTCTTGTATCTCTGAACTGAAGGCCTATTTGGGTCCCAAATCGCTACTTCCCTTCTTTCCACCCCCCACTGATTCCCGTGATCCCCAAACTTTAAGGTTCATATAAGCCCCTTGGGTTGTTGTTAAATTATGATTCAATGGTTTCGGATGGCGTTTGCGTCTTCATTTCTAGCAAACTCCCCATGAAGCTGATGCTTTTGATTCATGGATCTACTTGGGTATCAATTTCTATGTTTTCTATAGAAAAGGAGTCAGTAAACTCCTTTGGTAGAGGGCCAGATAGTAAACATTTTAGGCTTTGTGCAACATGAAGTCTCCTTCAAGATTATTCAGCTCTGTCCTGTAATTTGAAATCAGTCATAGATGATTAATGGGTGTGGCTGTGTTCCCATAAAACTCTATGAGCACTAAAATTAGAATTTTATATAATTTCAGTCTGTCATAGAGTAGTCTTTTAATTTTTTCCCAACCACTTAAAAATGTAAAAACGGGGTGCATGGGTGGCTCAGTCGGTGAAACATCTGACTTCGGCTCAGGTCATGATCTCGTGGTTCGTGAGTTCAAGCCCCACATCGGGCTCCGTGCTGACACTGCAGAGCCTGCTTGGGATCCTCTCTTTCTTCCTCTCTCTCTGCTCCTCCTCCTCCTCCTACTTCTTCTTCTTCTTCTCCTCCTTCTCATTCCTCCTCCTCTTCTTC